ACCAAGTTTCCTTCAATTATTTGTCTTTGTAAACTTCAGGTTTATAATTTTGATTGTTGAACTGTATTTATTAATAGTTTATTATAATTTATTAAGCAAAAAACACATAACTGCTAATTGAAGCTTTTAATCATCATTTGATATTTAACATAATTACAAATTGATATAATTCTAGCTAAAAAGAAGTATATGTGATACTTGAATTAGCTGTTCTCAGGTAATTGTCAATTTTTTTGTTAGAAATTTTGAAACATCAAATGTTTTGAAAATTCCCAGATACTTACAGAGCTTCCTTGTGATTCACACACTAGGATTTGAGAACTTAATGAATATATTAGGAAATAACCAAATAATAATTATCATTATTGCTAATATTTATTAGGAAATCACTATAGTCCAGAACTATATACAGTTAATCTTCCTTTAATCCTAAATCACAAAGAAATTAAATTCCTTAACCAGAGTTTGACAACTAGGAACTAGTAGGACTTGAACCTGGGGAGTTTTGAGTGAATATGAGTGAGAACTACTGTTTTGAACCCAGCAGTGACAATGAGAGAGCTTTAATAGATGACTCTTGAAGGAAGTTGAGATCTCTTGAAGAAGAGAATCATATTTATATCTGTTAAATTTTAAATTATTAGACTGTAGAAAAGCATCAGAACTGGGGTGCAGAAAAACGTTGAGGTTGCTAAGATATAGCTGGGGATAAGGTACTCAATTTTAATTTGCAGGTTAGTACCTGAATTTATGCATTTGAGTTGAAGATTGTGCAAAGGCTAGAAGTTGCCCAAACCAATATTGGTCAGAACAGGGAGTTCCAACCACCTAACAACATGTTTGGTTTGAGGGGATTGGTAAGTGGGGTAGGAGAGGATATTACCATTTTATGAGAAGAGAACCAGGTTACAGGGTAGGGAAATTTATATGTATACACATTACACAATTGATATATGCAGTAAAGGCAGAGGGCAGGGGAGGAGAAAGGCTCATTTTTAGTAGGCAGCTGGTGCTCTAGAGTTTCAGGATCTTTAAACCTCTGTGGATTAGGAATTTGTAGCAATTTTTACCCCTGTGTGCCATAAATCCCAGGATATTGAGATTTCAGGGCTAGAACTCTAGCAATTTTAATACAATGAAATGTTGAGGGTGCTGGAGGACCAAAAATGCAAGAATCTGAAAGGTAAACCTCTGTGAGTGTTAAACATAAACCCCCCTTGTATTCCAAGTCAATCACAATTTTAGCCCTTAGGACAGTGGAAATGGGGTTGGGGGTGAGGGGGACAGGGCTGTTGAATAACAGAAAGGCCATGTGGTCAGGCATTTTGGGTCTCCTTCCCTAGCTTTAACTGGGGCAACTCCCAATTTATTTCTTTAATATGTTGAGGGTTTTTTCATTCAGTTCCATTTGATAAAGGTATTCCAACTTTCAAAGAAAAGGGTAAAACCACTTCCCTAGGGGGAAAGGATGTGGAACCTCTAAAAAGTATTCCAATAGTTTACCTCAGCTTCCGTCCTTTCTGGAAATAGGGGCAGACATTAGCGAAGATGCTTTGGCTGGGAGGTTGGGAGGGGCCAACTAATCGTTTAGTGTATCAGTTATCCCCTACCAGGAAACCAATAACAACAGCATCAACAACAAATGATGATAATAGCGGTTAACACATAGGCATCAACTCTAATCTGACACAGGGATAAATGATTACATAGATTGTGCCATGCAATTCTCCACTGCCCTGTGAAATAGGTATTATTATCTCATTTTGCAGATAGTCTTACTCTTTTGTATCTAAAGAAATTGTGCACATGGGAATAAACTAAACAGTCACTTTATTTATTTAAATTTTATTTTAGATTTAGGGAGTACATGTGCAGGTATGTTACCTGGGTATATTGCATAGTGCTGAAGTTTGGGGTACGAATGAGTCCATCACCCAGGAGTGAGCATAGTACCTAGTAGTTAGTTTTTCAACCCTTACCCTCCTCTATCCCTCTCCCCAATGTCTATTGTTGCCATCTTTATGTCCACAAATACCCAATTTTAGCTCCCACTTAAATGAGAACATGTGGTATTTGGTTTTCTATTCCTGCTTTAGTTCACTTAGAATAATGGCCTCCAGCTCCATCCATATTACTGCTAAGGACATGATTTCATGCTTTTTATGGTTGCATAATATTCCATGATGTACGTGTATCACATTTTTCTTTATCCAATCTACCATTGGTTGGCTCGTAGTTGATTCCATGTCTTTGCTATTGTGAATAGTGCTGCAATGAACATGCAAGTGCATGTGTCTTTTTGATAAAGTGATTTATTTTCTTTTGGATACATACCCAGTAATAGGATTGCTGGGTCAAAATGGTAGTTCCATTTTAAGTTCTTTGAGAACTCTCCAAACTGGTTTCTACAGTGGCCGACCTAATTTCCATTCCCTCCAGCAGTGTGTAAGTGTTCTCTTTTCTCAGCAGCCTTGCCAATATCTGTTGTTTTTTGACTCTTTAATAATTGCCATTCTGACTGGTGAGAGATGGTGTCTCTTTGTGGTTTTGATTTGCATTTCTGTGACGATTATTGATGTGGAGCACTTTTCATGTATTTGCTAGCTGTCTGTATGTCAAAAGGCATTTTAAAATCATATTTTACAATTAGATTTAGGTAGTTTTTCGGGACTAATAGCAGCTGAAATATACACCAAGTCGAGGTGATCTATTTGAACTCAAATAAGTTCAGAAGGGCAAATCACATACTGGGCTCTGAAGTCAGGAATGTCTGCTTATTCCAAGAGCAAAGTGCTTTATGTAGATTTAAGTAGAAGAAATGTTTTCTTCACAGAAAGGAAAGGTCATTTGCCATTGCATGTTTGCTTTAAATGATTTTTATTAATTTGTTCATTCCACAAATATTTACTAGGTACTAACTATGCGCTCTGAGCCCAGAATCTCAAACTTACAGAAGTGAGGAAATGATTTTTTTGATATAAGCCTCAAGCCTAAGAAATTTCTAGAATTACCAAATCCTGTTTTAGGTGGCACCTATTGATTAAGTGTGATTTTTCAGCCTAGTTCCAATCGATATTTAGAAACCCAAGCAGAGTGAGGAGGGCAGTATTGAATTAAAGAATGTTAGAAATAAAGTAGCTCATTTCCTAAGAGAGTCAGACAGACTTGGGTTGTTAACTGTGTAAACTTGGGCAGGTAACTCAACCTCTCTGAGCCTCAGTTCATCATATATAACATGGGAATAATCATATATTCCCATGTTATGTAAGGCATATCTGCCTTATAAAAATATGGTAAGGATTGCATAAGATAAATTATCTGAAGTTCTTAGTATGATGTCTAACATATACAACATGCTCAGTACATGTCTACTGTTATTGTGATACCTGTTTTCCATGTGAAGGGACCGAAATTTAGTGAAAGGAGGTGGCTAGCCCAATGTGACATAGCTTGATGATGTTAGGGCAAATATTAGAACTCAGATCTCCACTAATACTCAGATATGCCTTATACTACACACCGAGTTTACCCCCTGAGAGCCAGGTAACATATACTTCCTGGACCTGTGAGAAATATTTGGGCTAATCCAAAGAGAAGGGAAAAGAATTACAAGGAAGTACCTGACATAAGAAAATAATTCCTGGACTCAGAAAACAAAACAGCAAGGGTGAAACAGAGAGCAAGAGAGAAATAATTATCAGAAAGTTTACATACCGATGCTGGAGCATTACAATGCATAGTCAACCACAGGATTGATCTCTATTCTAACTCTTTTATTCACTAAAAGCAAAAGTGACTATTTTCTTTTTCTTGAGGATGATGGTGGGAGGTGGTTTAGAACACATTTGTGATTCATAGAAAGTTACTGTGGATTCAGCTTACAATTTCTATTTGCAAAGCAAGGGAACTCCATAACTGAAGTTAGAATGGAAGCAAGAGTACTGCTAAGATGTAAGGAATAACAGATTATTAATTTTTTTTGAGACATGGTCTGATACCCAGATACCACTGCTGGAGTGCAGTGGTACAATCACAGCTCACTGCAACCTCGACCTCCTGGGCTCAAGTGATCCTCCTATCTCAGCCTCCTGAGTAGCAGAGACTACAGGCATGTGCCAGCATACCTGGCTACTTTTTATATTTTTCATAGAGACTGAATCTCACTATGGTGCCCAGTCTGGTCTCAGACTCCTGAGCTCAAGCAACCCTCCCGCCTCAGCCTCACAAAGTTTTGGGGTTACAGGAGTAAGCTATTGCACCAGACCCAGAAATGATAGATTTTAAAAGAATATTGAGTTGGAGTGACACTTCATAGTAGAAGTTGTTGAGAAATTTAGTAAAAATAAGAAAACAAGGGCTTAATAGTAAAGTCATGTTGCTATTGCTTTGTGTAGTTATGGTACAGTACAGCACTTAGAGACACTGATTCTTTAGATGAAGATAATCTTAAAAATTGGAAATATATGAAAAGAGCCATTCTATTTCTATATTAACAGTAAAGGTTAATTTATACTTGCCTAAGCAAAAGATGATATATTCTTTCCTAAACTATTCTTCAGTTTAATCAGAGGCCTGCAATGTTGGCTATTACAAGATTCAAGAAATATTCAGGGGATTCCAGGAGTTTCCTAAAAGAAGCAAGGCCATTTTGTTCAATTTATTGCTGCATTGTGCATGGCACTCAGACTGGTGCCAGAAAGTCTGACTGGAGTTCTTAGCCCACTACAAGGGATGCATTGTGATTGTTTCAGGTGCATCCACTGTATCAAAAGATTGTTCCAATATTATACACTTAAAAATTTGTTAAGAGGGTAGATCTCCTGTCAAGTGTTATTTTTTATCACAATAATAATTTTTTAAAAGGTGTTCCTTTCTTTACTTCATATTTTGAGTTTGCTAATTTTCCTCCCCTGAAAATAATTACACTTTATTTCAAGTAAAATAAAGTATATTGGTAACAGCTTGATTGCTTATTCATTTGATAATATTCACCTTCACAGGGCATCAGGTACTGTTTATACAGCACTAGACATTGCAACAGGACAAGAGGTAAGTGCTAACATTCAATCCTGATTTTTATTTTCTTTTGTTCATATTTATCAGGTTTCTTCTTCGATGGTAACTTTGCCTAAAAAAAAAAATGGGTAGCACTGGGTTGAGATAGGAGTTTACTTCATTGGTGCCCAGAGCCTCTGAAGTGAGTGGTTTACCCATGATTGACAGAAAAAAGGGGGGTATGAGTTTGTGGCACAGAGAAAGAGCTTAGTAGATAAAGAATGTGTATGTTTCACTTTATATCCCCCCAAAATGAATATTCATGTTTATTGTAATGGCTGTAATTTATTCTTGTATTTTAATTGCCATCCAGGTGGCCATAAAGCAGATGAATCTTCAACAGCAACCCAAAAAGGAATTAATTATTAATGAAATTCTGGTCATGAGGGAAAATAAGAACCCTAATATTGTTAATTATTTAGATAGGTAAGTGTTTTGTCTCATTGTGTACTTGTATTCTTTGTGGTATGTCATTTTTTTTTGGAAAATTATTTGGGATTCGTTCATTTAACAGTCATTCTGCAAATATTTCTCAAATGCTACAGTACTGTAGAGTATTAGATCTATCGCTAAACTTGTTCTCATTTAGCTGTCCACATATCAGACACTTGAAGAAACGTTTTATGATCTTGGTTGCAAACATAGGAAGTTTGTGGAATTTCATGTTGAGAATCATAGCTCCATTTGGCAGAAAATAGACTATTGCATATAGGAAGGAGCAGTGGTGTTTTAAACATTATATCAAGTGTTTGGAGCCAGTACAGTTTCTGGGAGTCTAAGTGAAGAAGGCTGATTACAATGGCCCTCCACAGTGGCTTTAATGGATGCTTTGTGATTAACTGACAGTGAGGTCTAGGGAATTCAGACTTTAATCTCAAACCTTTTTCCTAAACCAGGTAATTAATGTCTCTTTCATCACTGGTATTAACAGTGTGTTATAAATAGGTACACACTAACAGTTAAGGACAACACTAACTCTTCACTTGTAGTTAACATCTGTCTCATTCAATTTCAAAAAGAGTTTGTTTAGTACCACTGTGCTGTGTTCTCTGGAGGGGATACAAAGAAACGAAATCTAGGTCTTCAACTTCAATAAGCTTAAGATACTGTTTACTGCATTTTGGGCCAGGTAGACCAATGATATGGAAGAGGGAAAAACTGGGAGGAAAAAAGAAGGGTAAATTTTCAGTCTTTTATTTTAATTTTTATTTTTAAATGAAGTCTTGCTGTTGCCCAGGCTGGGGTGCAGTGGCAAGATCTCAGCTCACTGCAACTTCTGCCTCCTGGGTTCAAACAATTCTCCTGCCTTAGTCTCCCAAGTAGCTGGGATTACAGGATTGCACCACCATGCCCGGCTAATTTTTTGTATTTTTAGTAGAGACAGGGTTTCACCATGTTGACCAGGCTGGTATCAAACTCCTGGCCTCAGGTGATCCACCCTCCTTGGCCTCCCAAAGTGTTGGGATTACAGGTATGAGCCACTACACCCAGATACAAATTTTACAGTCTTGATCAGTGTCTCATAAAGTGTAATTTAGAAATCATCTGCAGCAGAGTAAACTAAAGTCATTCTGTGTTTGTAATTTTGCACAAAAAAATGCATTTGCACTTGTAAAAAATGCAGAATTCTTTTTTTTTTAATTTTCTTTTTACTATACTTTAGGTTCAGAGGTACATGTGCAGATCGTGCAGGATTGTTACATAGGTATACACATGCCATGGTGGTTTGCTGCACCCCTCCCCCGTCATCTACATTAGGTTAAATAATAAGATGAGGACTGTGAATTTTTATTTTTAACAGGCTTCCCAGGTGAATTTTATGGACACCAAAGTTTGAACACCACTGGATAGAAAATCTTGCTTCACATTGATATGGGTCTTAGGGCAGGGTGGGAACATTGGGGTCATTCCATTTCCTATAAATCATCTTTCTTGCTAAGCAGGGTTTCAGAGACCTGATTATACTGCTAAAGTGCCTTCAGATGATGTCAGGTGATTTGAATAACCTCATGCTCTCTTTGCCTGAATTATAGGGCTCTGATGACCCTTGGCTCCGTATTTGATTGGGGCATGTCCCTCAGTACCTTCCCAAACGGAACGGGCATGACACAACTTACAGTTAACTTCTGTTAGAACTGAGGCCTGGGAATATTAGAGTCCCCAGTTTCCTAGTGTCGTAAGGCAAAGTCTTTTCTTTTCTTGTTATAGCTACTTAGTGGGTGATGAACTATGGGTAGTCATGGAATACTTGGCTGGTGGCTCTCTGACTGATGTGGTCACGGAGACCTGTATGGATGAAGGACAGATAGCAGCTGTCTGCAGAGAGGTAAGCAAATAGAGCATTTCTGGCTGATTAGAATGCCAAAATTGGCAGTTCTTCATTTCTGATTGTTCAGAAGGTTTATATCATCAAAGTAACAATAGTAGAATTTTTCCACTGAAAACAATTGGAGAGGCCAACTTCAATTTAAATTCTGTTCCTAATAGCACTTCCCAGCATCACCCTCCTGAGCCCCTTGTTTATTTTAGCTGCTTTTTTTTTGGATATTTGTAGCTCCATGATGCCATTTGCAAAGTGTCATATCTAAACCCACATGCTGTAGTTTCTGTGAACACGGGAAACAGTGATATTGGCTTAGCACTTCTTTCTAATTTGGGGAAGTGTTTACATGATACTTATTTTATTCTGCATGTGTAATATGAGCCATGCAAAATACATTATATTTCCATCATTTTTAAGAAGGCAGTTTAAACAAAGTCCGCCCTCAGCCCAGAAAGCAGTTGCTTTCACAGTACAGTCTACACATCCCTTATAGCCTCCAGTGGGCCTGAGGATCTGTCTCTTTTCCAGTAAGTGTCATACCCCTGAGGGGTTTCAAAGTAAATTAAAGATGTGTTATTATATTTATTTTGTTGAATATTAAAACACACTCTCTTCAATGGAGTCTCATCTTAGGCATTGTAATCTACCCCATTTATTGTAGTGAGGTTTACTATCAACAAAAGTAGGAACTCTGACTCACTGAAACTTGAAAACCAATGATAGGGAAACAAAACTAAGTGAGATCAGCTAATCTTTGACATATATACACATACATACAATTCACTTTAACTTCCTCCTTACTTGCTCTCCTCTCGTTATCATTTCCCCCACCCCACATATCCACCAAACATACATGCTTTCTATTCGTGCAATAAATTGAACTTCCTATCCTGAGCCTGTGGTTTCCATCTTCCAGTTTTACACTGCAAAGCCATTTCCAAACAAGTGCCTATAGTTACTTCATAGCCTAGGAGTGGTGCCCAAACCTGGCTACCCATTAGAAATAGTTTGGGGTACTTGTTTTAAGTGCAGATTCCTGGGTTTCACTCCAGAACTTCTGAATCAAATCATACCGTATACAATGAAGCTTACCATAGTTATATAAGACAAAGCTGAATCCTCCAGATAACCAGGCCAAAGTATATTAATTGGTTAGTTTGGCTGTATTCACAATTGTTGCTCTTTATCACATTATCACTCTTCATGTCCTAGTCAGACATGGCAGCCATTATAATGCATGTATAATGCTAAGTGGCATAATTGATGTAAATGGTAATGTGACTACAAAGTGGTGTTGTTAAAGCATTCAGTAATCGATTTCATTTGACAATATAAGTTATACCCCTACCCAAAACTTATCTAGAAATAAAACTTAGTATTAAAAAATTATTTGTGATATAATTAGAACTTTTTTTTTCTGATTTAATAGTGCCTGCAAGCTTTGGATTTCTTGCACTCAAACCAGGTGATCCATAGAGATATAAAGAGTGACAATATTCTTCTCGGGATGGATGGCTCTGTTAAATTGAGTAGGTATTTTGGTTCAGATGGTGCTAGAGTATCAGGGAATTTCTATTCTTCTATTGTATATCTCAAGAAGTTAATGGTCACTGAAAGTGATTTATATGAAAGCAGTTACAGCCCAGTTTGCAGTAAATAATTTTTCTAACACTGTATTCCTGAATATTGTGACCACGCTTTTTGGATTTAATATTTCAGAATTTCTAGTGACTTCTAAAATGAATGAATGACAAATACCTAATTAGGAAACTGAAAAATTCTGTAAGTTTGAGAAAACAGTGATGAAGAGGGAATGAGATTGAAGTCTGGTAAAAATGACATCACATCAGTCAGTTCTTTCAGACCTTCTTAAAATCAGAACCAGCTGAGAGATAGTTAACAAAAGAATATGAACTGTGGAAGCTCAGTGTGTAACAAAGGAAGGTACAGCCATATCTGGAAGTCATGTATTGTAAAAGGAAAACAATTTGGACTTATTTTAACTGGCTTTTCTTCTCTGTAGCTGACTTTGGGTTCTGTGCCCAGATCACTCCTGAGCAAAGTAAACGAAGCACTATGGTGGGAACCCCGTACTGGATGGCACCTGAGGTGGTGACTCGAAAAGCTTATGGTCCGAAAGTTGATATCTGGTCTCTGGGAATTATGGCAATTGAAATGGTGGAAGGTGAACCCCCTTACCTTAATGAAAATCCACTCAGGGTAAGTCAGAAGAGAAGTCAGGTACTTTATTCCCAGGAAAGGGGAAAGGCCAAATATCATTTCTGGCTTCCACCAAAAGTGACCAGAATGGGCTCTTTTCTGAGACAAGTAACAGAGAAGCACCAAGTTATAATTTTCAAATTTATTGTAAGCTTTATAATGTTTATCTTACAATGTCTCAACAGTTTTCCTTTTCCTTTCCTTTTTTTAATTTTTTTTAGGAGAAATAGTGTCAACTACCCATTTTTTTTCTTCTCTTCAGTTAATTCTTTTTTCTTTCCAATTTTTATTTTAGGTTCAGGGGTTACATGTGCAGGTTTATTACATGGGTAAATCGCATGCTGTGGGGGTTTGGTGTACAGATTATTTCATCTCCCAGGTAATGAGTGTAGTAACCAATAGGTAGTTTTTAGATCCTCAGACTCCTCCCACCCTCCACTCTCAAGTAGGCCCCAGTGTCAATTGTTCCCTTCTTTGAGTCCATGTGTACTCAATGTTTAGCTCCCACTTAATGACTGAATATGCAACATTTAGTTTTCTGTTTCCACATTAATTTGCTTCTAATAATGGTCTCCAGCTGCATCCGTGTTGCTGCAAAGGACATGACTTCATTCTTTTTCATGGCTATTCCATGGTGTATATATCCCACATGTGCATTATCCAATCCATTGTTGATGGACATCTAAATTATGTACATGTCTTTGCTACTGTGAATAATGCTATGATGAACATACATGTGTATATGTCTTTATTGTAGGACAATTTATATTCCTCTGGGTATATACCAGTAATGGGATTGCTGAGCTGAGTAATAGTTCTAAGTTCTTTGAGAAATCTCCAAACTGCTTTTCACAATGGCTGAACTAATTTACATTCCCTCCAGCAGTGTATAAACATTCCCTTTTCTCCTCGACCTCACCAGTATCTGTTATTTTTGACATTTTTTTTTTGAGACAGATTCTTGCTGTGTTGCCCAGGCTGGAGTGCAATGGCATGATCATGATCTTGGCTCACTACCACCTCCACCCCCTAGGTTCAAGCAATTTGTGCCTCAACCTCTCAAGTAGTTGGGATTACAGGTGCGCACTACCATGCATGGCTAATTTTTTGTATTTTGGTAAAGATGGGACTTCACTGTGTTGGCCAGGCTGGTCTCAAACTTCTGGCCTCAAGTGATCCACCCACCTTGGCCTCCCAAACTGCTGGGATTACAGGCATGAGCCACCACACCTCGCCACTTTTTGACTTTTTAATAATTATCATTCTGACTGGTGTAAGATGGTATTCATTGTGGTTTTGACTTGCATTGCTCTAATGATTAGTGATATGGAGCCTTTTTTCATATGCTTGTTGGGCACATGTATGTCTTTTTTTGAGAAGTGTCTGTTCATGTCCTTTGCCAATTTTTTAATGGGGTTGTTTGATTTTTGCTTGTTAATTAAATTACTTATAGAGGCTGGATATTTTAGTTTGCAAATATTTTTGTCAGATGCATAGTTTGCAAATATTTTCTCCCATTCTGTAGGTTATGTGTTTACACTGTTGATTGTTTCGTTTGCTGTACAGAAGCTCTTCAGTTAAAGGAGGTTCCATGTGTCAATTTTTGTTTTTGTTGCAATTGCTTTTGGAGTCTTCATCATGAAATTTTTGCCAGGGCCCATGTCTAGAACGGTATTTCCTAGGTTTTCTTCTAGGGTTTTTTATAGCTTTAGGTTTTACATTAAGTATTTATTCCATTTTGAGTTGATTTTTGCATGTGATAAAAAGAAAGGATCCAGTTTCAATCTTCTGCATATGGCTAATCAGTTATTCCAACACCATTTATTGACTAGGTAGTCCTTTCCCCTTTGTCTATTATTGTCAACTTGGTCAAAAATCAGATGGGTGTGGGTGTGCGGCTTTGTTTCTGGGTTCTCTTGCCTGTCCTATTCGTCTATGTGTCTATTTTTGTACCAGCACCGTGCTGTTTTAGTTACTTTGGCTTGTAGTATAGTTTGAAGTTGGGTAGTTTGATGCCTCCATCTTTGTTATTTTTGCTTGGAATTGCTTTGGCTATTGGGGTGTTTTTGGTTCCCCACGAGTTTTAGAATAGTTTTTTTCTAATTCTGTGAAAAATGTCATTGGTATTTTGATATGAATGGTATTGAATCTGTAAATTGCTTTGGGCAGCATGGCCATTTTAAAAATATTGATTCTTCCTATCCAAGAGCATGGAGTGTTTTTCCATTTGTTTTTGTCATCTCTGATTTCTTTCATCAGTGTTTTGTAATTCTCGTTGTAGAGATCTTTCACCTTCCTGGTTAGCTGTACTCCTAGGTATTTTATCTTTCAGGGTTGTGAATGGGATTGTGTTATTGATTAAGTTTTTAGTTGGATGTTGCTGGTGTATAGAAATGCTACTAAGTTTTTTAGCATTGATTTTGTATCCTAAAACTTTGCCAAAGTCATTTGTTAGATTTAGGAGCCTTCTGGCAGAGACTATGGGGTTTTTTAGGTATAGAATCATATCATCTGGGGAGAGAGAGAGTTTGATTTCTTCTCCTCCTGTTTGTATGTTGTTTATTTATTTCTCTTGCCTGATTTCTATGGTTAGGACTTCCAACATTTTTCTAACATCTTTGATAGTATTTTTAATGACTAGGGTATTTAAGATTCCTTGGTATAGCTTTCTAATGTAAAATACATGTAGCTTTTTTTTAAAGTGAGATGTGGGGAGAAAGTATTTTTATTACATGACATGGTTAAATGATCAATCTAAAAAACACTTGCTTTATAATTACTTTAACAAAACAAATAAATGCATTTCCAGAACAGCTGTAATTTTTAAATTGGATTTTCCTTATTAGTAATGGTTTATTGATTAACAACAGCTTGGTGGGTATTGAATGGAACACAGAGCTAGACATACTGCCAGCCTGGTGAAATCACAAACATAATTAGATTGTCAAGTAGAAAACGAATGGAAACAGTTTGTGTTTGGTAACTCACTTTGCTGCCGCAAAATCAGAGATTGGATCTTCATGTGGTCTTGTTATCCCTGCAAAGAGAAAAACTCCATTTCACAACCTAACCCTACCATCTTATTTCAGAGGTGCGCTGTTGATCATTTGGAGAAAAGGAAAGAGGTATGAAAGAAATGCTTGCTCAGTGCAGAAGTGAGCCATAGCTATTTTGCCGTATGTAGCCCGACAGTGAACTATTAATAGAAGCTGTGTTTTGTATATATAACAGGCATCACATCGTTGAAAAAAGAAAATATGCAGGGATTCAAGTTCTACTCTCAAAATGTATGCACAGTGCTAGTATCATAGGCATCTTGTATATTGCGTGCATCATTACCACTAGGAGTCTAAAATTGAGTTGTACCCTTGGTATGCAAAAAAAAAACGATTGTTCTTAGTAAATGATTAAGTGTTTCACATAAAGCTTGTAAAATTCATATTCAAACCAAATGTATGTGGCTTTCTATGTATGTAAAGAGACCTATAAACTAACTGTGTAGTTGAACATTTTGTAGTTGGGAGCTGCATTCTGTATGTACGGAGAGGAGGACAGCTTCCTCCTGGCTTTCTCTTAAGTCCTCTCTGGTACTTGGCCTCTTGTCTTATTACCTGTGCTAATTAAAAAACAACAGATATGAGGGAATGCCCTAATGAATGCTATAGGCTATTGCTCTGTTCTCATGAAACAATCTGGAAATGAGATGTGCACATTGATTAGCTGCCTTCAGGGCTGAGTGGAAAAGAAGGGGCATTTTCCCACCATTTGTGGGTTAGCCCTCCATGGATTTAATCAAGTCCACCCCTGACCTATGGTCCAGCACATCAGGATAATTACATGGGCTTTTCCTTATTATTTAACCACCTTTGCCCATTAAGAAATTGTAGTGAAAGAGCACATCCGACCTCTTGTTTCCATGGATTTCCTCTCCTAAGCCTTTGGAGTTTGGAGGCACTAAACGGATTATGGCTATTTTGCTTTCTGCCTTCTAATGAGTAATTTACAACCTGCAAATTTTAAGGATTAAACAATTGGCTCTGTAAAACAACTGGTCTCGGTAATGGATTTATTACCTTCTTCAGTTCCCCAATTACAATTGATCTCTCCTTAGCTAGGCTGCTAATTGTTAGAAAAAAGGAAACAACTTTTAATCTTTATAGGCATCTTCTAGCCTGGGATTAGAACTCATAATTAACAGCTTGTACCTTATGTCTAAACAAGTACTTGCAGATTAACAAACCACAAGGTTCAGGAAGCCTCCATTAAGTCTACAACAAAAAGAACTGTCAGAAAGACCACCCTGTTGAATTCCACTGATAAGGATTTACTCTAACTTTGCTCATTACTCTCCGTGTGTGATCAACCTTCAATTAATCAATCAACAAGCCCATATTGAGCTAGCCCTATTCTGATCCTGTCTTTTCTAGGTACCAGGAGTACTTTTTTGGTTTCAATTTCAAATATGCTTTCCTAATGTTCTTTTGAAGGAAACACAATGTCTCAGGTTATATGCCTTTATTTGGAATTTTGTAAATGTAGTTGCTGAGGCCATGGGGAGATTGGAGAGAAAAAAGATCTAACATGAGTCTATAGGGAGCAGCGTTTTCTGGGATCCTGATGCCCAGGCCATATGTGGGGAAATAGAAAATAACCCAGAGCTTTAGGAGAAGTATAAAAGAGTGCAGATTAGTCCTCTCTTTAAGATCCGTCCAACACTACAACCCAGCCACTATTTTGTACTTTGAGGTGGAAAGAGATATAAGGAAGTAAGTGAAATAAGTGGAAGAAAAACAGAGTGGTAGAGTACAGGGTAGCATGTTGATGTGAAAAATTTTGATCCTGTAGTCAGGCAGATCTGGGTGTGTCCTGGTTCTCCAACCTGCAAGCTCTGTGACCTTCTGCAAGTTACTAAAAACCTTTCTAAGCCTGCTTCCTCTATGTACAATGAGGATCATATCGGTCTTACAGAGTTAGCATGAAAACTAAATGAATAATGTAGC